GACCGGGGCAGCGGGATGTGGGGCCGATTCAGTGGGGTGCCCGGAGGGTTGAGGGGCTCAGCGGGTCGGAGCATCCTCCGGAGGAGTAACTCGGGGTGGGGGGAGGTTTCCTGGAGCACCGAGAGCTGGGTGTGCTCCGCAGGAGTTGTCGGGGGAGAGAGAAAGGGAGAGAAATTCGCCTGTTAAAGCTGTAAAGTGGCGATTTGGCAGGAATTTAATAGAGAGCTGGAGAAGAGAAGGCTCCAGGGAGACATTATTGTGGCCTTTCAATCCTTGAAGGTGGCCTGTAAGAAAGATGGGGACAGAGTTTTTAGCAGGGCCTGTGGTGACAGGACAAGGGGTGATGGTTTTAAACTAAAAGAGGGGAGATTCAGATTAGATATAAGGAAGAAATTTTTTACACTGAGGGTGGTGAAACCCTGTCCCAGGTTGCCCAGAGAGGTGGTAGAAGCCCCACCCCTGGAAACATTCAGGGTCACGTTGGTTGGGGCTCTGAACAACCTGATCTGGTTGAAGATGTCCCTGCTCACTGCAGGGGGGTTGGACTAGATGACCCTGAAAGGTCCTTTCCAACCCAAACCAGTCTGTGCTTCCTTCTGCCTGAGAGCAGAGGATGTCTGAGAGGATGCCTGTGGTCTCACTCTTCTTTTTGCTGTCTTAGAGCTCTTCAAATTGCCTTTGCTGTTGGGGTTTTTTTTTTTGCCTTTAAAACAAGTACATGGCTGTTTATTGACTTCTCCTTTTCCTTTTTAAAACAGTATTTAACCAGGCGCATCCCTCAAAATCCCAGATACCAACATATAAAAACCCGCCTCGACACTGGTAAGTGAGATTGTCATCAGGTCAAAACACCAAACGAGGATGTAGGAGCACAGAAAAATATGGTGGATGTCTTAACTGCCTCTGTCCTGAGCTGTTTTACCCCAGATACTCTGCAGCTCTGTCAGAACTCGCATCACAATTATGATGTGATTCTCCCCCCACACTCTTCTATGATTCTATAATTACATCAGGTTCTGTTGTGACAGTTCCCATAGAAACTACTGCCCTTAGAGTTTCTCTATCTGGGCTTTTCTTCTATAAACAAATATCCTGACAAAGATGTAAATCAAGATAATTTGGGGGAAGATCTTTGGGGGTTTTTGTTGTTAAAAGGGTTGAATTTTATCTGGTACCACCTGCCTGTAGTACCAACACATAAATGTTGGGGAAGGGACAGCGTGGCCACAGTTGCACTTGAAGCAATGTGTCAGATGGAATTTGAGTGCTAAGATCCTGATTTCAACCCCCTTGGAGAGGCAGAGAAGGGGGAGAGGGGGAGAGGCAGAGAAGGGGGAGAGGGGGAGAGGCAGAGGAGGAGTTTTTGATAACAACTTTCTGAAGGTGCTGACTTCCTTCTCCAAAACAATTTATGCTTTGGAGTAGAGAGGGCTTGATGTGGAACTTGTAAATGGGGAGGGTGCTACAAGGCTGTTTTTTAGGGGAATATCACTGTTCTGACTAGCAGGGTGTGGATATTTTTTGTATCCCTTCCTGAAAATCCTGTAAAATAAAAGTTGGGTGCATTCTGTAGCAGAACTGTTCCCAGAGGTGGTTGGTAACTGGGATCCAGCAAGTCTTTTGACTGACTTTGCTGTTTATCTCAGTCTTCCTTGTAAGAGAAAAACCCTAAGAGGAAAATTGTTGTGTATTTTATTGTCATGGAGAAAGAGGATTTGCAACAAACTTTTGTTATCATGGTCTGATCTTTTTTTCCTCCAAAAAAAATTGAAGCTTTAATAGCACTGAAGAAAACCACTAATAAAAAGTGTGTAACAAACTGATTTTTAATTTTAATTACAGGAAACAGTTTAACAAAATACACCGAGAAGTTGGAAGAGATCAAAAGAAGTGAGTAACTGGAGAGGAACAGAATATAACTTGTGGTGGGTTATTTTAAAACTGAAAGAGCATTGAGGAGCTGAGTTAAATCCCAAACCCTCTTGTTTGCTTGGAAGTCTCCACTCTGATTCCCACAGCCATTTACAGGCATCAGCTCTAGAAACATGCAGCAGTCGAGGCTTCCACCCTGATTCTTTGCTGGGCACCTTCCACTTTGTCCTGTGCCTTCTTTCTCCATCCCTCATGGTGCTTTACAGATTTAACTTCACAAACCAGGCAGGCAGGTCTGGGAGTCTTTCCAGATCCTTCTTTATGCCATTTTTGTTATTAAATGGAAATCAGTCAGGAGGAAAGTTCTCTGGACTAAGAAAACTAGACTAGACTCATCTGGGAAAACTCAGACTGCGCTTCTGAGACTTTATTTCACTTTTAGATAACAAAATGATTGAATTTGAGATCTTTTGTCTAATTTTAGCCTGCTTAGATTTCTACCCTAATATTTCAAAAGAGGAAAGAGATAATTTAATGCCTGTGGAACTCTTTGATTTTACCAGAATAACATTCTTTACCAGAAAAACATTGATTTTGTGAAGAATCTGAGTCATTCAGGCTAATGAAAGCCTAACTGATTTTTATTTCAGTCTGTTTTCCTACTGAAAAGATGCTTTTAAAAAAATTCTCACTAAAAAAGCTCATGTTTTACCACTTTATTATCAGCTACTGTCCGGATTATTTTCACATAGAGAGCCAGGAAAGCTCTTAAACCCCAAAACTGCATTTATTGATGTGAAATAAAAATCAGCCCCATTAATGAGGATTAATTAGGATCTTTGAATGTTCAGTTGTAGTTCTTGGACCCACTTATTGTGTTCCTCTAAGGTGGTAGTGTTCATATTATAAGAGAGGTCATTTATTTGTGCTCAGCTTTGAGTAAAATAGTCCTTTGTTTGGGTTTTTTTTTTTTTAAACACCACGAGTCTTTGAGGAAAATCAAAAGAGAAATGACTTTTGCTTTCCAAAATCCTGTGTTGACTGACTAAGATTTCAGTGCTTCACACTGGATTGCTTTTTTTTTTATCTGTGCTGAAAATCTTGTTGTATGGCTCTAGTTAGTTTTCAATCTCACCTCTGTGAATCTGATTTTTGTTGTTTGTTTCAGGTTCTTTTGTTTAATTGTGGTTCTGGAGTCCAGTAGAAACTTTCTCATTCTATTTGGGTTGAATAAACACCTTGTTGTTCTCAGGTGTAGTTTAGAAACTTCTCCCTCCCCCCCCTTGATTTCTCATGGATAGATGATACTGTTTGGACACAACTTTAAATACCCAGGACAGTCAAGTCTCTGTCTCTTGTGTAATGTGAGAGAGTGGGGATTTAATACCCTGAGCCTGCTCTGGAATCAAACATGATAAGAGAGCTGGAACCACGATGATTTGTCCTTTGGAGAACTGACTTGAGGAGAGACACCCTTGCTCTGCTCTTCCTTCACTCATTTCTGAAGCCCTGAGGAGCACCTCCTTGAACACACAACAATTAACAGCTTCAGACCAGTTCACTGAAGCAAAAAAAAAATATGTCAGAAAATCCAAATGGACCTTCCAGGACAGAACCGGGTACGTCCTGTTGCTTTTGTAGTTGGAAGCAACTCTTCTTCTGAACTTTCCTCTTGGAAACTCACCCAGGCACTCTGATTGATTTGCTCCAGGTCAGGCTTTGTAATAACAACAGTTTTGTTTTGGTTTTTCTTGGAATTTTGGGTGGTAAAAGCAAGATTTAGGTCATAAAAGTTTGTTCTAGGATAAATAATCGTTGCTTGAGGTGGGTGGAAACCATCCAGCAGCTGTTTTGTATGAGCACTGTGACAACAATTCTGCTTTGTCAGTGTTTATATACATCCAGCTTTGCTGATTGTACTTTTCCTTCTAAATTAAGTTTATTTCTTGCTCTTCACATGATTGAAAAGCTTTTTGTCCATGTCTGGGGTGTATTAATCATTTGAACATGGGCTACACGTGGATTTTGTGTAGGGCAGATGAGATAGGCTGTATAAAAGATAATTGTTGGTTATTTCTGAGTTATAAAGGGAGGTTTGAACAATCTGAGCTTGAGGCTTGAAACCAAATGGTTTTGCAAGAACCATGAGGCTCATTTTCAGGTGAATTGATGTTCTGACATCTAGTTTATGCCCAGCTCTTGTACTTCAGAGCCATGGTTTGATGTGTCTAGTGCACACCACAGTGCACTGGGGTATTTGGGATGGGCTCCTTCTTTTTAAGATGAGTTGTTTAGTAGCAAGTAGATGTTGCTTTGCAGCTGAATAAAAATTATCTAGGGTAAGAAGTTGAATTTGGGAACTCTGCTGGCTCTGGTTGCTGAAAGTTAATTGGCCTGCCTCTTCAGGAAGTGTATTTAAGAAGAAAGAATAGGAATGAACAAAAAAATAATATATATAAGCTTAAAATTTCTCCTTTTATGTCTGTTCTGCTACCATAATGTGCCTGTTGCTGTGTACAGGGAGGATGTTGTCTGAGCAGAACGTGTGTCAGGAGCTGTTTGATCACCACTGGTATTAGGAAGAGACTTCAGCCTCCAGCCTTGGTGTGGCTCCTTCTCTAAACACCCGTCAGCTTGAGAGTTTCCATAAGCTAATTCTGCAGTGATTTTTTTTGTGTGGTGGTTACAGGAATCTGGTTTGGAGCCCTTCCCCCTTCCCTCTCCCATCTTCCTTTGCTTAAGCTGTCGAGTGTTCAGCAGATGGTTTGAGAGGATTTAGAATTGCTTAACTGGCTGGATTTGATAAAGGTCCTGTTCTCTGTTGTTAGCACACTTAGCTGAAGAGCTGGAGAGACACCAGTTTGGAGTATCCTCTAACAGTTACTAAAATGGTTGGAAAAATGCAAAGTTTTTCTTGTTTTTAAAAAAAATCTGTGATTTCAGAGGCAGAGCCTAGTAAGGGAAGAGGAAAGGAAAGGAAAAGACAGGAGGAACAACTTTGTTTCTTGAGAGAGCTTAGATTTGGTAGAGCCTGGTTCAAGAGCTGCACACAGAACTCGGTTACAGCTGCAGTACCTGACATGGGAGGAATTTTGTTCATCTTTTTGCCTTTCCCTGGATTGTTTTGGGTTTGTTTTCTGTTTTTTTTCCCCCTCTCTGCTATCTTCTTTCTAGCTGTAAATTTCCCAAAGGACGAGGCTTCCGTTACTTCCCATGGGAGGCTATTTCATATCAAGATCTTCCTACTGATACTCAGCTTCTCTCTCTTCTATTACATACACCCCTTTTTTTTGTTTCACACTAGAAAGCTTCTCTCTTCCTCGTGTTTATGCATCTCAAGTATCCATGTGCCATCAGACTTCCACCCTTGTCATTGCTTTCTTAGCACTGGTAAATCTCTGCTCTGGTTCTTTGCCAGTCGTTGTCTCACTGCCCAAGCTTTCTCTTCAGGTTTAAGATTCATTTAGTCCAGTTTCTCCATCACAATTTGATGTCCTTCAGGCTGGTATCCACGCCAATCTGCTGTTCAGTTTCTACATTAAACAACTTCTGTTCATTTACATATCTGTATCAGCAAATTGTATCAATTAGAGGCTAATTGTCAGATGAAGTAAAAAAACTGGGAGCATTTTAATTAATATGATTAAACATATATGTTCAGCTTAGTATTTGAAAATACATAGCCTGAGATTCAGTGCCCCTGAGCTCTGATTCTGCTGCAACTTACACAAATTAAAAATTCAGGGAAATTTAAATTATTTGGTTTAAGAGACTTTGACTCCAAAGAACAGCAGGCAAGGTGGTAAATTAATGAAACTACCTCCTTCCCCCAGCAAGAAAACACAAAGCAAGACACATTGGAGTCTTAAAAACAACAACAAATCTGCCTCCTCCACTTTAATCACATCTGGACAAGGTCTCTCTTTATAACTGGTATGACTTTTCCCAAAGTCTTCAGCTTTGATGTTCTGATCCTTCAGCCCAAGTGTAGAGCTCAGAAATCCTCCCTTGTTGGAGAAAAGCCTCTGTGAGAAGAGCTGGGACTAAGCCTCTTCTTACCTGGTATTTGCAAAAGCTGAGAATTGACTGAAAACTGACATTATTGTCCTCTTCTGTTTTCTTTTTGAAGATTACAGATATAAAAAGGATGAGCTGTTTAAAAGACTGAAGGTCACTACTTTTGCCCAACTGGTATGTATAATTCCCTCTCCAGCCTCTGAAACTTTGTTTTCTTTTATGAACCACATTTTTTCTTGGTTTAAAGCTTTCTGTGTAGTTATGTAGCCTTAGTGTGTAATTCATCTGTGCTGATTTCTTCCTGCCCCCTGAATAAAAACAAATCAGGCCAATATTTTCAGAGCAGTCAAATGGTTTTATTTGTAAATTGAAGTTTGTGATGATTCTGTCTTTGAAATTTCTTCCCTATTTTTTTTTTCCTTCTAACTTAAGAGGATTTTCCAGCCTCTTACAAAAGAAAAGGGCTGTGTAACGTAGTATTCAAATCTGATCTCATCAAACTTTGTGTCAAGTAGCCTGAAAACTTCTTTAATAGTGATTTTTAACTGCAGAAAGTGGGGAGGTTGTGACTTCAAATCTTTCTGCATGTTTTTTTTAAATTAAAAATCTGATCAGTGAATAAAGAGCTGTGTATTGCTGGTATGTTGGTTCAGGAAAATTAATAAAAACTAGAAAAAGACAAACTTCCTTCTAAGGAGGGAAGGAAAGGGAAGGTGAAACTTGCAGATATCGAAGGAATGAGTTTCTGCAGAATCATCTTTAGTTTCCCCTGGATTGTTAAAACCAATCCTGTGACTCTCACTGATGTGATGAACTAGTTTAGTTCATTAATATCTCAGTTCTCCTCTCACAGACCAATTAACCCTGGGTGATTTTAACCAGTGTAGTCTGTGCTCTGAAATGTTTCAGTTGCAGCCAGTGATTGAACTTCACAAATATTAGAAAACATTCTGGTATTTGATATTGCCAGCACAGTGGATCTGGTTTTAATTTATTCTAAGATTGAGCATTGTTGTAGGTTTTGGGTTTTTTTTGGTTGGTTAGGGGTTTTTTTTACAACTTTTGCTTAATAAAAGGACACACCAGCAGGAGAAGTTGCATTGAGTTAAATGTGTTTTGGCTTGAGGATTGTTTTTCCTGAAGCTGATCCCTGCTTGTCTTTCATTGACACCAGTGCAGGCATATCAAGCTATCCTTGCTGGCTTTTGTTTCCTGCAGGTCATCCAGGTCGCTTCTCTATCTGATGAAACCTTAGAAGTGACAAACGAGGAGATCTGCAAGCTGGAAGGTAACAATATTTATTGTTAAGCACAAAGAGAAGGAGCTGTAGGTCGCTGTTGGATGGTGAACTGTGTCCTGACAAACATATCTGACTGCTCAGCAAGTCTTTTCACAGAATCACAGGATTCCTCCTGTCATTAAAAATTATTTTAATTATAAAATAATTAACCTGTGACCTGCAGCTGTTCTACTTTGGGATGTATCGCTCCTAAAACAGAAAAGACTTTAAAATAAGAAAAGCTTTATGCTGCCAAGTTTATTGTAGTAACTCAGTAGATAATGTACATCAAGAATTACAATTTTATTGAATTCTTAAAATAAGATCTGGCAGCCTTAAAAAAATAAATCATATGGCTCTTTGTTATTTTTAATATGAGGCTCTTGGTAAGTCATCCTTATAAGAGGATGAAGATAAGGCTGCCTTTAGGAGACACACTTTCTTCTAAGAATAGAAACTGGGCTTAAAACCCTGCCTGGTTATTTCCTGCAGCATTTTAACTCTACATGCTCTGTTCTCTCTGCTTCTCCAAATGCAGATGCTGAAATCACAGCAGGGACAAATGGGAAAGGAAGTCCTGATGGGTCACCTAGTCCAGTCTTGTTCATAAACGACACAGGAGCTGGGGAATCCTATCGGTCCACGCTGCAGAGGTACCTGAAAATAATACACAATTATTTCTTCCTGTCTAAGATAATTATCTTTATCCAGCTAGTTATTGTAAATTGCTACAAAGTGGCTTTATATTGTATTTCTCATTAAAGCTTGATTTTTTTCAGGTCTGGGGATGTGAGTGAGAGAGAGGGTTGGCAGGTTTTCCTCTCTGGATGTGATTGTTGATGTCTGAGAAAGGAAATATGTTTGTAGGACTTGATCCAGGTCCCTGGATTCAAGAATCCATGTTATAAACTACTCTGGTAAACTCAGTAATGTGCCTTCCTGATGATTTTAATGGATTGCCCTGTGACTGAGTATAAAAATCCAATTTCCAAACCCAATATATTGCTTGTCAAGGTCAAAGATACCAGGAGGATGCTGTAGGAGAAAGCTTCTCAGCCCTTCCCTTGCTGTACTTGTGCAAATGTTAACAGAGGAGTTGAGACACTATCCTGGTGGGCTTGATGATTGCGTATCAAAGCCATCAATTCAGTGACTGCTAAAAATATCTGGATGTTTCTGTTCATATCCTGGATCCAATCTAGTGATAAAATGGGAAATTACTAGATTTTTATGGGGGGAAAAAAAAGTGCTCTGCATAGCACTGCTTGGAGATGACTGACAGTTATTTAGTGTGTCTGACTTGCTGCAACCTCCACGTTGGCAGCTGCTTAGAATTATTCTCCCTCAACTCCAAGTCATTTAGGACATAAAACATCTTTACTGGTCTGATTCAGAAGAGTATGGTATGTTCACATAGCAAGGCTGTTTATTTTTTATATTGATATAAATAAAATCAGTCTCTCTTGATGTACTGAAAAGCCCAAAATAGACTCTTTCCATGTTTATATGGAGTCTGGCTCTACTGGAATGTAAATGTGCTGTTGGAACAGTTGATGGAAAACCACTCTGGCTTGGTGGAGAGGTATGGAAATGTTCTGCATGAAAACACACACCATAACCTCCTCTTTCCTCTTGTAGTGTGATAAGTGGAGTTGGAGAACTGGATATAGAAAAGGACTCTCCAAAGAAAGCAGGTGCTCAAGCTAAAGACATGCCATATCCTGACTGCCCCTTCCTGCTCTTGGATGTACGAGACCGAGATGCCTATGACCAGTGTCACATTGTTGGAGGTGAGGAGACCAGAATCCCACAGCAGCCAAGTCTTAGATCATAGATTCATCTCTTTGTGTCATATTCTGTCTGGCTTCATTTTTTCTCCCTCCACAAGGTGGGACATCACTTGAGTGCAGAATGTTCTCTGCACTCATTCAGTAAACACATCATTCCTGGAAATGGATGAGGGGACTGAGCTGATGTTAATCCCTTATTCAGTGGGTTTCCAAGTCTGAACTCTTCATAGAATCCCAGACTGGTTTGGGTTGGAAGGGACCTGAAAGCTCATCCAGTCCCAACCCCCCTGCCAGCAGCAGGGACACCTTCCACTAGACCACGTTGCTCAAAGCCTTATCCAACCTTCAACACTTCCAGGGAGGAGCAGCCACAGCTTCTCTGGCCAACCTGGGACACTGTCTCACCACCCTCACACCAAACAATTTCTTCCCAATATCCAACTCTTACAAATCTGTCAGTTGTTTTCCAGAGTGTGTGATTGTTGGTGTTCAGCCACTGTATAATTTTTCTTTCTTTTATTATTTTTTTTCTCCTTTGCAGCTTATTCCTACCCCATTACAACGCTGTCTAGAACCATGAATCCATATACAAATAACATTCTGGAATATGTATCCTTTACATAAGAAGTACTGAAATTAAAAAAAAATAATAATAATTAAAAAATTAAAAAATTGGAGGGTTGTTGGTGGGGGCTTCCAAAAACAATTGTAGTTCCTTTGTCCAGGGTGGTGCTTAACCAACAAAATCTGGGGATCCCAAGGAGGATGGGAGGGGAGATCCTTTAGGCTGAGATTACATGGTGGGGTTCCACTGCCACCATCAGATGATAGATTCTAGTTCCTCAAGGCTGGAATGCCTCTTGATTTTTGGTAAAAACTGCCTGACTTTGGCTTTTCTTGTGATTTTTGGCTGCTGGAAGGCAAAGCCATGATGATTGGGCACCCATCCCTTGCTGTTGCTGGAGTGTTGTGCTTCTTGAAGGATGCATTCATCAAATCCTCTGGCTTCCTCTCAGCACCTTGCTGAGGATTGCCTTTTCTCTGGAGGGCAGGAAGAAGATTATGAACTAGGATTATGCTGATAATTTCCCAGTTTATTATCTTGGGAGGGCTGCAGGGGAGAGGGGAGGTTGTAAATTAAGATGCTTCTTGCAATTGCCTGTTACTAATGTCCACGATGATGGTGGACACTTGCTGCAGGGGCTGCACTCCAGTGGGGATGAGGCTGTGTCCTTCCAGCAAGCCCCAGCTCCTCAGAAATCAGTTTTAAAGCATCAGTGAAGAGAAGACACTCCTGCCTGATACTCCCAAATCAAGTCAGGGAGTCTCTCAGTCTCCAGTCCCATTTGT